GGGTGATTTCTCACTTTCCCTTGCTCTATCTTCCTCTGTCTCCCTCCAGTAAGCACACCTGACTTACGGCAAAAGTCTAAATAAATAAATAAAGTATTGGGTAAATATTTATTTAAATTAAAATTTAAAACATTTACCATCATTATCCTAAAATATTAATTTCTAGTAAAGTCTCATTTCTTTTCCCCTTAAAGTTGGTGAAAGCATGTATTTTACATCTCTAAAAATTTGAGAAACGTGGGGCTGGCAAGTGGTGTGGTGGTTAAGGACACTGGACTCCCACGTGGCCAACTCCAGGCCGAGTCCCAGACCCCCAGACCTGGTGGCTTCTTTCTCCCTTTCTCTCTCTCTCTCTCTCTCTCATCAAATTAAAATAAATAAAGTTAAATAAAATAATTTTTAAAAATTTAAAAAAACACTTTTTTTTTTTTTAATTAGAGAAACAAGGGGAATAGTGGTTAAGGTGCTGGATTCCCACATGGTCAATCACAGTTCCAATGTTGGACCTGCCAATCTGATACTCACGCCAGGTATGCGTGCGTGCCCAAAATCCCAGGAGGAGAATGGAGGAGAGGGGATTGTGGCATGCATCCCCCTTGGTTGGGTGATTTCTCACCGTCTCTCTCTGGCAAGTGCACGTACCTTATGGGTAAAACCTTAAAAACAAAATGAAACAAAAACAAACACACAAAAACCCAGGGAAATGAAACAAAGGTCATTTTGCATTGAATGGTACCCCCATCCTTCCCAAGTGAGATCTGCTCTTGTCTGTCAAGTTGTGTAACCACAAATTACTTTTTATGTGCTGTTTTTCCTGGATGTCACTCTTGGTTCAGTTTTGAAGTGAATTGCAGCACACACATGGATGTAACTACTCCAAACCTTCAGGAAGAATCCACTCATGCGAGGCGGGCTGTGCATAGACGGAACTCCTTAGGTGCTGGTGGTCTGTTGGCACCAGAGGGTAATTAGAATGCTGTTTTCTGAAAGTGGGGTTCTCATGTAGCCACTGAAGAGCAGGATTGAGAAGTTGGGGAGAGGTTGGATTTCCTGGTTTGGGTTTTGTTTTGTTTCCTTTTGCTTTTGTTACCGTTTCAAGGAAAATGGTGATTCATTGCCTCTTAATGATGATGTCAATGCTGATCAGTTGTAACAGGTAATAACTTTCTGTGTCCTTTAAAAAATATTTACCATATATCGGTGTTTCATTTATTTAAAGATTCTGTATGATCCTGGGCATAGAATAGATGGAGGGAAACGTATAGGAATAATCAAATGTACTAACGAAAGGAAACTTAAATCTGCCAGTGGTGTGGGGGTGTGGGGATGTGATGGTGTGGTGGTGTGGAGGTGTGGGGGTATGATGGTGTGGTGGTGTGGGGGTGTGGGGGTTAATCACGTATGGTGTGTTGATCTCACATGGCTGACTGAGTGATTTGTGTGCCAGCTCCATAAACTTGGAAAACATCCCAGGCAGATGTGCATGCATGCCATGATCCTGGGAGGAGAGTGGAGGAGAAGAGATTGGGGTGTGGCCATCCCCCCAGAGGGTGCTTCCTCACTTTCCTTCTGTCTCTCTATCTCTCTGTCTCTCTCCAGTGAGTACACACAGCGTTTAGCAAAGGAGAAAAACAGAAAGGAAACTGGCCCAGCTTATGCCTCTGTGGTCCAGTTCATCGTGTAGTGGACTGAAGTGCTAGAAGCCACACACGTAGCAGACCACCAGTTCCAATCCGTGGGTGGGCTTGCAAATGCATGGGGTGTATACATGGTGCCCAAGATTCAGATAGGCTGGAGAAAGGGTTTGCACACGATGAAACCTGGTGAGGGTATCTTTCTCTTTCTCACACACTTGCGTATATATGCCCGTACTCACTGTCATGAAAATAACTTAAATGATAAAAGCAAGCAAGGGCCAGTCAGTGAGGCCATAGAATGTGATGGTCTGTGAGGCCGGATCCACGTGCCAAGGTCCCAGGTTTGCCTCTGAAGGCCTCCCTGCGGGCACCAGGCCCGTGCCTGTGCTTGTGAGCCGAGCTGGCTAAAGCTGGGGGAGGATTATAGCACCAAGACTTTGCTGTGAGTACCTCCCACTCTCTTTGAAGAAATAAATAAATAGGGAACCAGCAGTTAGCATAATGGCTACATTGCTGGACTCCCATGTAGTCGATTGCAGTTCGCGTCCCTATATCGGTGTTTCATTTATTTAAAGATTCTGTATGATCCTGGGCATAGAATAGATGGAGGGAAACGTATAGGAATAATCAAATGTACTAACGAAAGGAAACTTAAATCTGCCAGTGGTGTGGGGGTGTGGGGATGTGATGGTGTGGTGGTGTGGAGGTGTGGGGGTATGATGGTGTGGTGGTGTGGGGGTGTGGGGGTTAATCACGTATGGTGTGTTGATCTCACATGGCTGACTGAGTGATTTGTGTGCCAGCTCCATAAACTTGGAAAACATCCCAGGCAGATGTGCATGCATGCCATGATCCTGGGAGGAGAGTGGAGGAGAAGAGATTGGGGTGTGGCCATCCCCCCAGAGGGTGCTTCCTCACTTTCCTTCTGTCTCTCTATCTCTCTGTCTCTCTCCAGTGAGTACACACAGCGTTTAGCAAAGGAGAAAAACAGAAAGGAAACTGGCCCAGCTTATGCCTCTGTGGTCCAGTTCATCGTGTAGTGGACTGAAGTGCTAGAAGCCACACACGTAGCAGACCACCAGTTCCAATCCGTGGGTGGGCTTGCAAATGCATGGGGTGTATACATGGTGCCCAAGATTCAGATAGGCTGGAGAAAGGGTTTGCACACGATGAAACCTGGTGAGGGTATCTTTCTCTTTCTCACACACTTGCGTATATATGCCCGTACTCACTGTCATGAAAATAACTTAAATGATAAAAGCAAGCAAGGGCCAGTCAGTGAGGCCATAGAATGTGATGGTCTGTGAGGCCGGATCCACGTGCCAAGGTCCCAGGTTTGCCTCTGAAGGCCTCCCTGCGGGCACCAGGCCCGTGCCTGTGCTTGTGAGCCGAGCTGGCTAAAGCTGGGGGAGGATTATAGCACCAAGACTTTGCTGTGAGTACCTCCCACTCTCTTTGAAGAAATAAATAAATAGGGAACCAGCAGTTAGCATAATGGCTACATTGCTGGACTCCCATGTAGTCGATTGCAGTTCGCGTCCCAGCCTCAGTGACTTAAACTCACACTTGGCGCGTGTGTGTGCGTGCCCAAGATCCCAAGAGGAGCATGGAGGAGAAGGGATTGCAGCATGGCCATCCCACCTGGGGGGGTGACTTCTCGCTTTCTGTCTCTCTATCTCTCTCTTTCTGGTGAGTACCTATGCCCTATACCAAAAACCTCTCCAAAAAAAAACAAAACAAAACAAAACCAACAAAAACACCACATTGGGAACATGTGCGAGCATGCTCCAGACCCCAACAGGATGGAGAAATGGAGGAGGAGGATTTGTGGTGTGACTACAGCCCGTTAGCTCCCCTTTCTCCCTCGCTCTCTTTCTCCACGTCTCTCTGTCTCTGGTGAATACATGCACCCTTTGGCAAAATTGATTTTTTAAAAAGGAAACAGCAAGTATTTTTAACAAATAGAAATAAGTCATTCGTTTTATTTTAACATTATCAATAATGGAGATAAAGAAGAAAACTATTTTAATTTACTAGAAATTTATGTAAAGCTTATGAAAGGGGTTTTAGGGAGTTAGAGTTGAAAAGGACCTTCCAAATTTTCCATTGCACTTTTTTTTCCTTTAGGCTTTTGTCATAGGCGGCATGTACTTACCAGAGAGAGACAGACAGAAACAGAGAGAGGAAAAGTGAGAAATCAGTCCCCAGGGGGGATGGTCACTCCGCAATTCCTTCTCCATTCTCAACTTGGGCTTTTGGGCTTACACTCACGTTCACCCAGTGTGAATTTGAAGCCGCCAGGTCCAGAACTCAAACCGTGGCCAACCATGTGGAAGTCCAGAGTCTTAACCAGCCCACCACCTGCCAGTCCCCCTATCCTTGCATTTTACAGATGAGGAGCAGGAAGCCGAAGGTGATGGCACCAGGACACGAAGTGGATCCTAGTGCTCGATGCTTACACTGGCAGCCCAGGGCTATAGGAACACCTCAAGCCACACGAGGGCTCTGGGACACAGTCACAGACCTTCGAGGTGTGGGTCATTACTGCTGCAGTGCCCACCGAGTGCCCTCTGCCCGGTGTGGGATGGTGGTGACAGGTGAGGTGAGGCTGCCGCGCTGGAGAACGTCTGCACTGGGGACTTGCCGGGAGGAGCTGGCAGGCCCTGGCATTTGCCGTGTCCTTCCCGGTGCAGCCTCGGACTCCACCCGCCCCAGGCTGCGCAGCCAGGGGAGCAGCCAGCGGGACTACAGGGAAGGAAGAAAGAAACCCTGCCTCTGTCCTCCTCCGCTCCTGTCCACTCCACTCCACTCCAGACCGTAACTGCCCGTCTCCCAGACCACGCCACCCTGGTGCTTTCCAGCCAGTATTTTTCATCCACACTTTATTCGTAAGGGGAGCAATTCCGTGGAAGGCAGGAGAGGGGATCGTGTTGGTGTGAGTTCCCCTTCAGGCCTCGCCGGCAGCCAGCGTGCCATTTTGTCTTGTGTTGCCTCTGATTATAAAGCGACATACCTTCACGCTAGAGATTTGGAACGTATGTTTGGTCTCCCAGAAAACTCAGTGACATGATACTAAACCCCATTTTGTCTTTTGCACTAGGGATCAAACCGTCTCAGTTACCACAACGGGAAAGGTTTCATCTTGGCTTTGCTCCTGACAACAGGAACCAACCTGGGCTTCTCGATATCTTCTTGATCCTTGTCCTCTCTTTAGGAGAAATGCAGTGGGGAATTGGGGCTGTGGCTGCCAGATGGAAGCAGGCTCTGGTGACCCCAGGCGGATGACAGTTGTGACACGGAGCCCTGCTCCAGGTTCCACTGTGTCCGTGGCCCACTGACCGCCCTGTAATAATTTTCTTCCAGGTGGACTTGGGCCTCCTGCGCTTCGTCACCGCCGTGGGGACGCAGGGCGCCATTTCGAAGGAAACCAAGAAGAAATACTACGTCAAGACTTACAGGATAGACATCAGCTCCAACGGGGAGGACTGGGTCACCATCAAAGAAGGAAATAAACCTGTTGTAAGTTTGGCCGCCGCTCCGTTAACGGAGGAAGCCTTTTAAATGGGTGATCAATTTTTACTTGTTTGTTTGGGCGCGTTCTGTCTGGCCTGGTTTATTTTTGAATTGATTTAAAATGAAAAGTGCAATTAGAGGTTTACATCTGACCAAGGGGTCTCATGTTCCCAGACCTTGAAGCCAAGAAGAAATTATACGGATGTTTCCAAGAAAAGTCAATACGGGCCAAATGAACCGTCAGACTCAAAAATCGCTTTAAATCTCCCACAGGGATGTGAACTCTGCCTAGGATAAACACCATCCTCATAGAACCTTAGGAGTTTGGTTGCTTTTGGGTTTTGTTTTATGTATTTCTTCATTCTCTCTCAAAGACTCTTTCTTTCTTCCTCTCTGTAATGGGCAGGTTTTAGAAACTATCTTTTCATCTACCCCACGTGGCTCACAAACTAATTTACAAGTGCCTCTGGCTGCTTGCAAGAACAGAGAGAAGCAGCGGTGTTTGCTGCGCTCCCTCAGCTCACAGGGGAGCTAGCTTGCAACCAAGACGGTGGCACGGGTGGCCCTGGCCCCAAATCCTTGGGAACCAAGATGTTTTTCTCGGTCTGCCTGTTTATTTGAAGTCATACTTGCTCTGATTCACTAATCAAAAGATTTCTGAAAACTCATACTCACTGGTTCCCAAAATGTAGAAGCTTGCTCAGGAGGCTGAGTGCAACACGAGTGATGGGTAATAAAGACAGCAGCAAAGCCCAGATAACTGCAAACTGTGGGCTTGGGAGAGGCTGTCAGCATGTCCTGTCTCTCTTTGGGTCACTCTTAGTCTCAGTCACCTCCCTCTGGGTCTGGAACTGAGAAAACCTCCCCCACCACCACACCCCCCGTCTGTGAACTATTGATTCCTTTCATTAGAAGCACAACCTTGCTCTCACTTAGGGCAAGCGAGGCAGAGCAGATCTAGGGACGTGGCCTCGCTCTGGGACACGAGTTCTGTGGACGGCAAGGCTAAGGCCACAGCCCAGCTCTGGGGGACATGGAACCAGTTCTCCTCCTGGGGAAGAAAACCCCCACGGTTTCCTCGTGGAGAAGAAGTAGGTGCATTTGACCCCGAGTTTCATGACTCATTGGAGTACGTTTTTAAAGGTGTGCTTTAATTTCAAACAACACCCCACTAATGCCAAGGACACGTCTACAGACAAAAAACATCCAGAGTGGGGAGACCTGACCCTACACCGTCAGGTGTTTCTGTAAAATGAATGTCATTGGGCCAGCCGGTGGCATGGAAGTGAAGGTCCTAGATCCCATATGGCTGACTCTTGGTCTGAGTCCTGGACCTGGTGGGAAAAAAAAAAAAAAAAAAAAAAACAACGGGTGCATGTGTATGCATGTCCAAAATCCCTAGGCAGAATGGAGCGATGGGATTGTGGCATGGCCATCACCCCTGGGGAGGAGGGATGAGTTCCCATTTTCCTTCTCTCTGTCTCTCTCTGACAAACGCACACACCCTAGGGGTAAGAATGAAATCTAAACATAAGAGTGTCCCTTCTCTACGATGTCCTTTCCAGCCATTGTCACTGGCTGTCCACATGGCCCTGGAGCACGCTCAGATTCCAGGGGTGACTGACAAAGTGCTAGGAAGGCCCCGGTACACAGAAGGGCTTCGGGGATGGGAGGCAGAAGGAATAAGACAGGATCTGTGGCGGGAGAGACTGGGTGTCTGAGCACTTTAGCTGAGCCCTCTTCAACTGGGTCTGCCTCTGCCGCCACGGTCTCCTTCCACCCTGGGGACCACTGAGCCTCCTGCCCATGCCCTCTGCTGTCTCAGGAGTGTGGTCCTACCTCGGCCAACAGCCCTAACCGGAAACACTCCCTCAGGCCTCTTCCTGTTGGGCTGCGTGTCCTTCCACGGTTTTCAGCAAACATGACCCCCCCCATGTGAGCATGATGGCAGCCCCCGGCGTCAGAGCACGTGGCCTCCTGAGCTCTGGCCGCTCCCAGAAGTCGCCTCGCTGACCCTCATGTGGAGCGCCAGCACTGGGGACTGCCCTCCCTCTGGCAGCCCCCATTTTTCTTTGTCACACAAAAATGCTCCCACACCGATCGTTTCCCCGAGAGAGGTGCTGGGGTAGGGCAGGAATCTGAAGGCTATCGCAGACGGGGATGAGTTACGACGTTAACTGGCCCCAGAAGGAAGGCGGGCGACCACCTTCGGTTATGCAGGCCACTTAAACTAAATGAAGCGAAAACAGCAGCTTGATTTTATAAGCCCTTTCTGGGACAGGGCACTAGGGGAAGCCTCAGGAAGCTGTAGCCCTCCTCATGCTTACCTGGAAGGGTGCAGAGGACGCTCCAGTTCTGGGGGCCCAGTAATTCCCAAGTTACACAGTCGGCCCCACTAAGCATAGGGCCTAGTGCTGAATGCTGGCTGCATAAGACCCAGGGCTGAGAAGTGGCACTTTGACCCAGGGCTACCAAAATCCAGGACAGTGCAGGCTTTTGGTTCCACCTGAGGCACGCGTGTTACTGAACCGAACCAAGTGCATCTACCCACACGCGTCCCGCTCCCCCGCCCTGTGCAAAGCCAGGAGGGCCGCCCCTGCTGCGGGAGACAGCTCCCGGCTCTAGACGGTCCAGGCATGCATTTTTAAGGGCAAAATCCAGGATAGGCTGTGCTCCCCCTACTGCACTCGGATCACCGATTGGTCGATGCAGGTGAGATCATCTCCTGGGCTTTCTTGATTGGTGGGGCCTCCGGTAACCAGTTCCCGTCTCCAGTGCTTGCATTCCATAAAGCATCCAGCAATTACTCTGAACGCTGAGTAGGTATAACCAGAGACTCCAGCCTTCCTTTGGGCCATTACATTAAGATGGATCTTGCATTCCAAGCAGCTTAGAAAGATACTTTAATGTCAGATCTTATTAATTTTCAGTTGGGAAATTCCCATTTATTTTTCCTCAACAGAAGAAGACATGGAGGGCCCTTTTAGAGGGGTCCCTGCATGGTTTCCGGCCTAGTGCCAGAGCATTCCAGGTCAGCCAGCAGTTTCCATCCCGCCAAGATCTTCCTAGAGAACTGCTGTAGCCCCAGGCCCAGGCAGCACGGCCCTGCAGATACCGTGGGAACCATGCTTCCAAAACGAGCTGCAGAAGCCTTGGAGAAGCCGATTCAGTTCAAGATCATTTACAACTTGGTTTTGACTTAGACCACTAAAACATAATTTTACCATTCCCCAAAAAGGATGAAAGTCATTAGTTAATGTCGGGGAGATCTTCCATCAAGGAATAAAATCTATAGGGAGGACCCTGCTTGACCTAGTGCACTGGCTAGGAACATAACCTAGAATTTCAAAACGCCAGACCCTACCCTGAACTCCAAAAGCCCTCCTTCTGGGGCTTCCTGAGAAAGTAAGACGTGGACGTTCCCACGAAATGTCCATAGTGTTCTGTATGTTTTCTGATAAAGTTAATAACTGCTCACTTTAAAAAATAGTAGCATGTACCCTTCAATAAATGCTATCTTTGAAATAGCGCCATAGAGACTGTGGCCTTTCAGAAAATTCAGTGGATGTTTGGGGCAACATCGTGTGTTGGACATTAACAAAGGGCAGAGTAGTCATAAGAGAGGTCAGAGGAGAAGCCAGGGTAGCTCTGATCAGCGTGGAAATACAGCCAGGGGAATAGACAGCAGCCTTTTTATTTTCTTTCTTCCTTCTTCCCAGACGTGATTCTTTCTGAAAGCCATCATTTGGAAAGATGAACATGACACATTATTAATGCCACCTCAGTCTCAGTAGATGTGCTGAAATTTACCAGGCATTTGTGAGAACACTTTTGGGGGGCTTGTGTTAAATCCCAAAATGTGTTGGTAAAGGGCCTTTTCTTTTCCCACACAGATCTTTCAGGGAAACACCAACCCCACAGATGTTGCGTTTGGAGTTTTCCCCAAGCCACTGATAACTCGGTTTGTCCGAATCAAACCCGCAACTTGGGAAACAGGCATCTCTCTGAGATTTGAGGTGTACGGCTGCAAGATAACAGGTAAGCTCCAGACTGCCGATGGCCGGTTGTGATGTGCACAAACTCCTGATCGGAGACGATCACGTTGTATGAGTGCAGTCGGGATCTGGCAGTCTCTTACACAGTGTTCAAATCCAAGCTCAGTTCCTGCCTTACTCCTCATAGCCTGTTTCTTTGGACGAAGCATTTGCCCCGCGAAGCCGTGGTTGTGGGAATGGCCATCGTGCCCCTGGCATGGGGCTCATTGGGCTGTGGGTGGGCTCTGCAGACCCCGATGCCAGCTGGCCCGAGCACGGGCTGGTGTAGTGGCACCTTCTGCACATGTCCACGCCATCCAGTGCTGCTTCCTCGGTGCACAGCACGCCACTGGCGCTGAGCAGATTTCCATAACTTCGCGCAGTGTCCTCCGCGGCTTTATCTTTCCCATTTCGAAGTCTAAAAGTGGCCTTGTCCATCACAGTTGAGGAGAAGGAGGAGAAATTCTCCTTTAACTACCCCAGAAAGGTTTTCATCAGTTTGGTCTCTATCTCTGTTTTTGTCAAATTAATATACTAAAATCAGAAATCCATTGGAAAATGGTTCTAGTTTTTCAGTTTGTTTCTCCAGAATCAAAAGGACTTTAAAAGTCCCTCAAGTGTGGAATAAGTAAGTGGCGTTTACCCATCTGAGATGTGAAGAGATTATGAGATGCTAAGAGATTATGTGGCCATGAGCCAGCGGGTGGCCTGGTGGTTAAGGTAGCGGGACTCCCACTTAGCCGACCATGGTTTGGGTCCTGGACCTGGAAAGTTGCTTTCTCTCTCTCTCTCTCTCTCTCTCACTCACTCGCTCTCTCTCTGGTGAGCACCTATAGCAAATTAAAAGAAAGAAAAAAGATGGATAAAGTTAAATAAATAATTCTTTAAAGAGAGAAAGTGAGAGATTATGTAGCTAAAAAAAGAAAGGCCAGGTCAGTACAGAGCAGGAAGTTAAAAATAGTGAAGGGCCCTCACTGCTCTCTTGTGTATCTCTGTGCTGACCAATGCTGCTCTGGCTTCCCCACTGAGCTCCTTTATAAATGCTCTGTCCTCAGAGGTAAATAGCAGTCATTTTAGAATTCCTTTTAGTTAACTAAATACATTACACAACTTTTATTTAAAAAAAAAAAAAAAAAAAGAATAACCAGGGGCCAGCAGGTGATGTGGTCATTGGGGCACTGGACTCCCACATGGCCAACCATGGTTCAAGTCCCAGACCTGGTAACTGGCTTGCTTTCTCACTCTCTCCCTCTCTGGTCAAATTACAAAATAAGTAAATAATAGGACCAGCAGTTGGCGTAATAGCTATGTCGTTGGAATCTCATGTAGTTGAACACGGTTAGAGTCCCAGATCTGGCAGCTTAAACTCACACCTGGCATGTGTGCGTGTGTGCCCAAGATCCCAAGAGGAGAATGGAGGAGAAGGGATTGTGGTGTGGGCCATCCCCCCTGGGAGATGATTTTCACTTTCTGTCTCTCTGTCTCTCTCTGTCTTTCTAGCAAGCACAAGCGCCCTATAGCAAAATCCTCTCAAAACAAAACAAAAACTAAAAACATAAATAAATAAATAAATAAAGTTAAATAAAATAATTCTTAGAATAAAAAAAGAAAGGAAGAAAGAATAACCAAAAACCAGTTTAGTGTAATCTTCATAGGAAGTTTGAAAGTTCAATGACAGAATCAGTAGACTGATTCACTAAAAAGTAATTAAAAGTGAACAACTTCTTTAAAAAAAAAAAATCTATGGACTATCTTTTAATATTACAGTCTGATGAATATTTAAAGTACTCAATTGCTCATTCCCTGAATACCAACACTATTTTTATATTTATCATGTTTTGTATAATTATTGTTCTTTGTCTTTTCCTTTTTTTTTCTTTTTTTCTTTTTGAGATGTTTTTGCTATAGGGCGCGTGTGCTCACCAGAGAGACAGAAAGTGAGAAATCATCCCCCAGGGGGGATGGCCATGCCTCAATCCCTTCTCCTCCGTTCTCCTCTCAGGATCTTGGGCACGCATGCATACGTTCCCAGCCTGAGTTTAAGCCACTGGGTCTGGACTCGAACCATGGTCTACTACATGGGAGTCCAGCGACATAGCCATGACGCCAACTGCTGGCCCCTCTTTTTTTAGAGAGAGAGGTTTTTACTATAGGGCACATGCACTCCCCATAAAGACAGAGACAGAAAGTGAGAATTCAACCCCCACCCTGGGAGGATGACCATGCTGCAATCCCTTCTTCTCCAGTCTCCTCTCGGTATCTTAAGCATGCCCACACATGCACCTGGCATGAGTTTCAAGTCACCGGGTCCAGGACTCAAATTGTGGTCGTCTACATGGGAGTCCAACGCTGTAACCATTACCCTATCTGCTGGTCCCTGTATAATTATTTTTAGAGGAGGAAAATATTGACTCTTGGGGGAAAAGTCACCTTGAAAATTTTCTATAAAATTACAGGAAATTGGGGGAAGAACTAGCGAAGAGGGTGAAAACTACACTTTTTACAGCAGAGTCCATTGTGGGAACTAAAAGTCAATATCTGAGGTCTTACTAAAATTTTATTTATTTCTATCCCAGAGACAGACTTATTTATTGTCATATATCTAAGTTCAAGTCCTGAGAGGAAGGGGTTGGTGGAGAGCACTTTGGAGGAAAAAAGGATGTTGAAAAGTTAGATCTAACCTTGGCTTTATTTTCAGTCAGTAATTAAATGACAGAAAGTTCTAGGCCATTTTCAGAGCACTACGAATTTGAGAGACTACCCATAAATTTGTAGGAACAAGGCCTCTGAGGTTTGGGTGGAAAAGCACATTTCTTCAACCTTATCTCACGTCACTATATATATATATAAAGAAAAAGTAAACTTCATAAAGACTTCAAACATCGTAGTCTGAACTATGAATTTTCAGGCTCTTAAAGACTTACGTCACATTCTTTTAGTTAAATAAAATACTTAAGTCTAAACTGTCCTTTTTAATTTTCACTAGGATCTCTTTGCGAGGTAATTCTAGGAATATAAGCAAACCGTTGCATTTTTAAAGCTAGTTAAATGACATAGTTATTTAAACATAAATGTCTAAAATGGCATGTTTATTATTTTTATTTATTTATTTTTAATTTCCAGAGAGTGTGTGCACTTGCCAGAGAGAGATGAAGAGAGAAGAGGAGGGAGAAAGCACCCTCCAATGGGGTGTGGTCACACCACAATCCCTTCTTCTCCACTTTTCCACCCTGTCAGGATTTGGGACACACACACACACACACACACACACATGTGTCTGGCGTGTTTTTCAAGCCACAGTGTCTGGGATTCAAACCGTGGTCAGCCATATGGGATCCAGTTCCCTTACCCACACAGATCCAGGGTTGATCTTAGTAACTAATTACTTTATTCAAGTAGGTGCTGCTTTTAGGCTCAGAATACTAGTATCTTAATTACAACCCTTCATATATATATATTTTTTGAGAGGTTTTTGCTATAGGGCGTGTGCACTTGGTGCGCCCACCAGACAGACAGGGACAGAGAGACAGAAAGCAAGAAATCAGCCACCGGGGGGATGGCCAAACCACAGTCTCTCCTCCATTCTCCTCTTGGGATCTTGGGCACACGTGCACACGCGCCCGGCGTGAGTTTAAGCCACTGGGTCTGGGACTTGAACCACGATCGACGACATGGGAGTCCAGCAACATAGCCATTACACCAACTGCTAGTCCCTACCCTTCACGTGTTTTTAAATATGTTCTCTGTAGTGAGAGAGCTGTCATCTCCATGTAACTGACCTAGGTAGGCTAGGTAGAGGCAAGCAGTTACACTCACGTCACATGGAGAGAAAGTATGAGGACGTGCCCAGGCTTGGCTGTGTTCTATCCATGTCATGAATGTGGGGCCCTAGGTCCCTCATATCAGTGGAATCACAAAGTGTTTGCCCTTTGATGTCTGCAAATATCCACTTTCATCTCACATTCCAGATAAAAGATAGCCCCTAGATTTGTAGACCGAGGCAAGATTTCAGCCCCTCTGACCTCCATTCACTGAACTGTAAGGTTCGCCTTAATACAACTGTAAAGACAAGGAAATGAAAGAATATTCCTAACACCCTGACTTAGAGCATGTGCTCACTAAACGGTACCCAGTAATTAACGCAGGACATGGTACTCCAGAAACTGAACCTAGCGTATGCCCTGGTGAGCAGAGCCTCTAGGAAAACAGTGATCTCAGCATTTCCTTCTGGGTTTATCGAGGCAAATAAATTTCTCCTTTTGGAAGCTGTGGTTCCCTCAGAGTGGAGATTAATGAAAAAAGAATAGGACTGGAGTAGTGCTCAGGAGTTACTTTTGATGAATGAACTGCAGTTCTACCCAAGTCTTCTGACAAGTGACAAGACCCCCAAAATCTCACCCTCGGGGCTGGCAAGTGGCATGGTGGTTAAGGGTACTCGCTGGAACCCCACAGGGCCAGCTGTGGTTTGAGTCCCAGACCTGGTGGCTTGCTTTCTCTCTCTCTCTTTCTCCCTCCCTCCCTGTTCAAATGAAAATAAATAAATAAATAAATAAAGTTAAATAAACTAAGAAAAAAAAGATCACACCCTCTCCTATTGAATACTCAAGTCTTGATTTCAACCTGGATTTTTCTGTAAAAACTACCAAATTAAAAGTTACCATATGAACATATCAGTTGACATCCACAGCCTCAAATTTTAACCTAATTTTTGCACTGAGAAAATATTTGACAGAAATACAGTCATCCTAGAAAATCCAGAGTATCGAATGGTCTATTGCCTTACGGAGCAATAGAGAAAACAAGATGGGAAGAAGTCGTTCTGCTTTATGAGTGATGAAGCAGGCTTTTCATTATTCGACAAAGAAGGCTTCGTCATTTTAGCCTAGATGGAAACTGGTGAAAATCGTGTTGGATGAGTACAGCTCAGTGCATGGAGCACACTGCAAACTTTGTTGTCTTGTGTTTGTTAACTGGAAGTCTGTTCCCTGGTGCTGAGCACAGATC